GAATGGTGATGGATGGGAAACTGACAGTTCTGAGTCTTCCTTGGATTCCGCAGATCTTACCGCAGTTCCACTTGATGAGAGAACGCACCAGTATGAGAAACTCCATCAGCATCCTCATCACTCCCACACCGATCCCCGATCACACCACAACAAGGATGGGTGGCACTCACATGCTCATAAACACAATCATGCAGCATTTTATGCTGATTATGAGCTGCACCTACCTTCTGGTCGTACCGCTGGACATCGATCATTACAAAAATATTATCGTCAAAATTTGGTCAATCATCCATCACCAGAGGAGAGACAACGACGTGCAATTGAAGCAGCCGAAAATTCCGATTCTGATGTAGAGCAAGATGAACGTGTTGTTCGACGCAATGAGAGAGAACGTGGAAGAGCACTTATGAGCCGTGCAAATGGAGGTCTAGGTATGGCTGGTGTCACCGCTGAGAAGAGAAGAGAAGTCAAGGCGGCGGAGAAAAGATCCAGAAAGGTGGAGAACTACGAACGCCGTAAATTTGACTGGAGAAACAATAAGCAGAACAACTCACAAAAACACTTCAGAGTAAGTTGTCATCAACCGTTTTTGAACATGACTCCACTAACAACATTATTTAGGATCCATTGTTGCAATGATTTCTCCGTCGTGTTTCGTGGCATTTCTACTGGTGGCATTTTCTCGGTATACCAAATGATTCTTAGATATCCATATCTCACAGGTTTCATGAGCATCATCGGTGGGTGGGCAAAGAGTGGCATTTATTTTTGGGCGTTTTCATGGAATAGTTTATGATTGATGTCCTCACATAGATGAGTATAGAGTTAACAATACAAATTTTGTTGTTGATGGTAAAATGTTTGCTTCATGATTGATTGATTAATGTGGTGCTGTGTTTGCTGTGCTTTCAACGAATCCAAATGAGTCAATGTAACACCGATGAGAACTTCTCTTCAGAATCCAATCAATTGCCATGAATAGTGAATCTATTGGATGATTGCAACTCCATAGCCATCCAACCAGGGGATCAATTCAACTCTTGTGTGTTTGACATCTTTCACCAAGTAGTCCTAGGTGGAAGAAAAGGCGTGTATTGATCTTGATCTTATTTTGAAACTAATCCATACTGTATATTCCAATATATTCCAAGTATCATATCAATCAAAGCTCCTCTTTCCTTTTCCTTTTCCTTTCCTTTCCTTCCCTTCTCTTTAAATAGAATTCTCGTTTCCTCCATGTGCAATTCATCATTCATAATTCTCCCTTGATCCCTTCTCCCTCATAATGATCTGACTGTCCAATTGTCAATGATTTGCGGAGCACCAAGAATTAAACTATCGGGTTCCGGAATGGGTCGTCGATTAATCCCTGTTAGCGAAATATTCTCTAATCCCCAAGAAGGAACAAATTCAAAGCTGCAAACCCCTTAGATTCAATTTCCACTGCTCCTTCTTTTGACCGTTACAATCTTTACCTTTACCTTCACCTCTTTTTCGATTTTCTACTTTCTTCGCAGGAGTATTTGTTATTTGGGGGTTTATATTATTCTGAAATTACTTGCGTCTGCACATAAACAAAGAGGAGGTCTGGAGTAAACAAGAAGACATATACATGTACCAATTCGATAGCAAATTCCCACTGTATCCAAGCACAGCGCGCAACGATTGTTGATATGGCCGAACAAATGGGCACCCCCAATTCCAGTGCTGATCTTTCAGTGAATGGTGGCAAGAATTCCGCACCAAAGGACAAGAATTGTCCATTCTGTCATCAAGCATTTACTTCATCCTCACTTGGCCGCCATCTCGATCTTTACATCAAGGAGAAGAATCCCAAAGCGGCAGATGGTATACATAGTGTGGATGAGATAAGGAAGCTTCGTGGAGGCATTACACGGCGGCAGCCACGTAATTCAACTTCAAGGAGGGAAGATTCGACACCTGCAGGGACACCTGGAGGATCGGACAGGGGGAATTCCAATAATGATTCTGATATGGTAGGGAGTGACTCTCCAAGCTTAAGGAGAGATGATGGAGCGGCTATGAATATGATGTGCATGTCAAGAGGGGTGCCAGGTCAAACTTTGGGTGGTCGAAGACCTAATTTTGTTGTGAATGGCGGTACATGGGAGTCAACAGGCGTCATGAATCATATTCCTCAAGCACGAAATGGCGAAACCGCTCGAAGTTGGGATGGAGATGAATCCAGAGATGGGAGTAGGAGATCGGATGGCAGAAATAGATCTGTCAGCAAACAAATGCTAGCGAAAACGACGTTCGAGCAAAAACAAAAGATGATGGAAGCTCTGGATAATGCAAAAGCAGCAGAATTGGCATTAAGAGAACTTTTAGGGGGGGTTAGAGCAGCCAAGTAAGTTTTTCCCAACTACACAATCCGGGTTCAATTCTAATTCAAAATCCTACAGACAACGAATTGAAGGCCCCAATATTTTTGATTACGATCCTTTTAGTTTGGATTTTCCTGCCCTCACTTTACATTGTCTGCCACCACCACCGACCCTTTACGCGTCTACCCCTATTCCAAACTCTACTTCATGGTCTATCCTTCCACCAGATGAATTACAATATCAAGCATTGCGGAAACATTTTGCATCGGAGTTTCACCGCTACCGTATCTCAATATCCATCGCTACGACAACTCCACAAGATGATTTATCATATCCTCCGCAGGAGAACTTCATTGGTCTCGAGAGTCTTGCTACACTACACCAACAAGCGGAAGCAGATGCTCAAAGCATGGAGGCTAGAATTTCTGAGCACTTACATTCAATGTTTGGGCATTGGAATTCGTTGCCTCCAAATAAGAGGACTGAACTTTGGACTCTCGAATTAGCTCGTAATATCGGTCGAAAGTCTGAGGAAATATCCAAGTTGAAGAAGGAGAAGGAGCTTTTACAACAGGATACGGCGCACTCAAAATTACAAGTTGAGGAATTAAGTCGATTACAACAACCCAGGGAATTCAGGATTCAACCACCTTCACCACTACCTATTGATTCACGTCTTATGACTGAATTAGGTAAATTGGGAACGACGCACAAAGCTGTTGGTCTTCAACTCATGGATCGAAGTGTACATCTCGATACGGCAGTGGAACGAGCAATTGGTCGTTGGAAAGGTGTTGTCAAGCAAGCTCGAGCCGGGTCTGGACAGCCTGGATCTGGCTTGGCTGCACAAAAGCCACTTGAGAATAATATTAATGAAGCGTTACCTCCATCGAATCCACCGCAACTTAATTCTTCCATAACAAGCCAACCATTGCAAGAGGATGCGCAAGACATTGGAAGCGATCAAGATGCAGATGGTGATGCAGATATGGAGGAAGATGATACTTTTGTCGATATGACAGACGTTAATGCAGGTGTTCAACGTGCACCTGAAGCACCAATGTCTAATACGACAAATTTCCGATTGGCAAATGGAGGAATTAATATGCAAGGTGTTGGTGCCGGTGGTAACCCGAGAGGAAGTGTAATGGAGGGTCTCGAGAATCAAAACCACGTGCAGGGATATGTGAGGATCGGGGCCTAATCAACATATACATGAATAGGGCAATAAGCAACAAGAGTCATAAACTCGACAGCTATCTCGATCCTCAAAATCAGTAAAGTTGTAAAACAATCTGATACAACGATGCAGCACAGTCATTCATATACAGAAGCGAGCAAATAAGGAGTTTTTATTTCAAGCATTTACAAGGAGTTTTTTTTTTATCGTCGTCGCTCGCTGCCGGCTAAGGGAAAAGTTTCTTACTACATCTCGGTGTCAAAAGAGATTGGCTGTTTTATTCGAACTGGAATCTAAATTCATCTTGACGACTTCTAGCTTTGAGGAAAGAACAAACACCTGAAAATGAATGGGATATATTATCGTCTGCATGGCAATTAAGTGATAGAAATGGGAGAAATGGGAGATCTTGAATGGAAAATGGAGTGGGAGTTGTTACAAAGGGGGGTGGTGGATCGTTCGGGTTCATCATTCTGTGTATAGTATATTCTTAAGTAATTATAAATATAAATACCGAATGGTTCTATGGAATTTGTTTTGTTTTAAAAGACTACCTAGGTATGTATCGGGTGATGTGGTAGGCACCTGTGTTGAGATTTGTGAGAAGTGAATGAATGTATTCGTTTCGTTCTTTTGCAACTTTTGTGACGGTAAAGAATGAACTGCAAGTGCACATGATTCTCTCATTGCCTTCCTTATTCATTGTATTTATTGAGAACCCCCGATCTTGCGAGCCGGTTCAAAGTATTGACAGGGTCGGCGTAGCAGGTCTATACCTCCGGCGATCACGACGTCAAGCCAAGAATTTCCAAGGGTTCCAAGGTTGTATTGTAACTTGTGAGGCTGGGGAATTCCCACTTTTTTTTCTACCTCTGATGTCGGGTGCTTTGGTATTGGGGAGGATATGATATGATGTAATGTGATGTGATGGGATGAGATGGGAATATGTAGCTCGGCAGGCTTCAGGACGTAATTTTGTGAGGGTTGATGGTACTTGATACGAGGAGGGAATGTCATGAGAGGGATGTGTGCCTTGAGCCGGCTTGGGAGGTGAGTGGGTTTTCTTGGCGGGTTGGGGATTGAGGTGAGGTGAGGTGGTGCGGCTGAGGTTTGGCGCGGGTGGGTAGCTTGGTAAGGTATGGATGGTTGGAACTTGGAAGGAAAGGTGGTGAATGGATGGATGGATGGATGGATGGATGTCTAGGGAAAGTGGAGGAGGGAGAGGAGTGGGATGGATGGTGGGATGGTGGGATGGTGGGATGGTGGGATGGTGGGATACATATAGCGAGGAGGTTGTCTCATGTTTTTGTGCTGGATTCTTGATGTAATTTTTGGTTTCTGATTTTTGGGAATTTTTGATTTGACGACTCTTATTCACGGATATCTGGATACATTCATCTCATCTCATGACATCACAAGTGGATATATCCAACTCATCGGTCAACTGATCGATCAATCAAGCATACACGAAAATGGAAATCAAATCACCCATAAATACACATACAAATACAAATCTTCCTTCAACACAAACAGCGCATTCTGATATCCCAATGGGGGTAGAAAATCACAATCACACTCACAATCACAATCCTCACACTAACACTGGAACCGAAACCGGAACCGTAATTGAAAGTCGCAATGCAGTAAACACAAGCCATTCGGAGATTAATACTCAACCTCCTCCTCCCTCGTACAACGCGCACGCCGATCAGCATTCGAGTGAAAAGAGGACTGTGGAGAATAATCACCATGGAGGGAATGAAAATGAAACTCCGCCGCAATTTCAAATACGGCCGGATGTGTTGATGAATGCGGATGGGAATGCGGGTGGAGGAGGGAATGGGGGAGGAAAATATGAAGGTCAATATCCGGCGCCTCTCACGTCGCTGCAGAAGGAATCGAGATTGGTGAGGTGTCCGAGGTGTGGGGTGTGTGAGTATACGGGGGTGGAGTGGGTTAGTGGGGGGACTGCGGAGTGAGTTGTTTTTCTTATTTTTTGGCTTGGGGTTTGGAGAGAGGGGAGGGAGTCTGGAGTCTGGAGTCTGGAGGGGAATGAGGAGGGGATGGAAAAGGGAAAAGATGGGAGGAAAAAGGTGATGAAGAAATAAGCTAACCAAACCCCTCAATTTCTAGTATCTCAGCTCTCCTTTGCTGTCTTTGTTTCTGTCTTCCGTGCGTACCGTATCTCATGACGAGCTTTAAGGATGTACATCATAAGTGTGCAAATTGTGGATTCTTGGTTGCGGTTGTGAGTTTTTTTCTTTTTCTTTTCTTGTTTTGGAATTGGGGGATGGGGGAAGGGGGAAGGAGTTAGGTTGTGTGTGGGAATGTTAGAATGTGAGAATGTGTGGAAGTTGATGAATGGATAATTGGATACTTGGACACAAAAGAGCTAATCTAATATCTTCTTCGATTTACAGTGGAAAAGAAGTGGAAAGACGGAGGTGAGTGTTGCGGCTAGTGCGGCTGCTGCTTCTGGGAATGCGGGTGGGGTGGGCGGTGCTGGAGGGAAGTAGAGAGGATATGTGAACGTGAATGTGGATTTGGATTTGGAATTTTGAGTTGGGTTGCGTTAGCTTGGGTTGGATGGGTGTTATGGTATGGGCCTTGGGTTTTGGAGGGGGTTTGGAGGGTTTTGTGTTTTAGTTTGATATCCAGTGCTTTGGGATGATTTTCTCCTGGAGGGAGCACGAGAGGATTTGGGGGGAAGTTTGGGGATTAGGATCGTATCTTTGTTCGTCTATTTAATCTTCTCTCTTTTGGAAACGAATGGCGACAAACATTTGTTGTCATCTATTCCGCGGTTTTGTGGAAAATTCTCATTTTTCGGCGATTTCGACACAATCCTGTCAAACAAATCACGATAATCTGTTCTATGTTGTTTCGATATAAATATTTCTTATTCTCCAGAACTTCCCCATCTTCAGTCGGTCTCGGTCTTGCTCTTTTGTTTGTATGGCCAAAGTCGTGGGTTTGTGGTAGTTTAAATATTGGAGGCTTGTAAGATTTTGAGTTCTAGTGAATAGATGAGAGGGGGGTGGAGGGGGTGGCTTTCTCTTCTGCTAGTAGCGGGTGAGGCGACAAGGTCGCATGTGGTGGGATTGTAATGGTGAATTTTATCTATCACGCCCTTTAAGATCTTACGATTTTGTATCATCTACCAATCTACCCCTCGATAAACCCGCTTCATCTTTATCATAATTCCCTCAGATGCTCAACTCTACGACTCGGCTCCATCGTTCAAAGTTCCAACCCTTTTCTTTATAGCTGGAGAAGTTCATCTCGGAGGTGGTAATCTTCAGCTAAGATGTCGATGTAGAGATTTCATCAAATGCTTGAATGAATTTTGGTCACAGGGATCTATGGGATTAGATTTCGGGTCGAGAGGGTTGGTTGAATAATTCTCTTCTGACCTGACTCTAGAGGTTATCGTCTGATGAGTTAGTGTTGTTGCTGAAGAAATGTTTTTGTCGATCAACTTCAAGTGTTGTCGTAATGTTAGAATATTGGACGAGACTTTCCGCTGAGGTGCTGTTGTGAGTAGCTAACTGTAAGCTGCAGTTTCAATGGATTATTATTATAGTTTAGTATTCCACTCATGACATAGGGCCCGAGATTTTTCTTGTGAGCATGATGTCTGTGGTCTCTCTGCTTCTTGTTGTAAATAGAACGGGAGTGGGATTAACGAGAAATCTAGAAACTAAGGTTCGAAAAGCTTCTGCGTTTACACATCGGCTTTTAGAAGATCGATGATAAAGTGAACTAGAGGAATGGTCGAGAGAGGGGACATGACTGATGAGTACATTCGGCCATAGATAGTGGAGTCACTGGTTGGCTACTTAAGGAAGGATCATGTAGTGCATGATTTTCTTTTCGTTGTGGTCGCAGCGAGTACAAAAAATGGGATGATAATGCAAGTGCATGATATGACTACAAGTCACAATCCAGAGACACATTACCCGGGACACTTTGTGGGGGTTTTCGGGGACTGCCTCATTGTACAATTTTATTTTCCGAGTTCGAATACATGTTGTCGATATAATAAAGAAAACTACCTATTGTCAGCGTTTCCTTGCGTTTCCGTCTGTCATACAAGGGGTATAACATCCATTCCAAATTCTCAGCTATTCATACCGTACATCCATATAATCCTGTCAATATCTTAGCAGATTGAGAGCCTGATTGGTATCAAATGTGAACATAGAAAAACATTGCAAAAAAATACGAGGATTAACTTGCCTTATTTATGTTCTTAATGTTGAAGAAACTCAGCTATCTGATCGAGATTTGATCAGCCTTGAAATCTCCCCTCTTTTAGAATTCACTTTAGATCTCGATGGAATGCTTAGTAAACCGCATATTGATTAGTTTTCCTTAGTCTAGGAATCCCGAATTGTCAATACACTAGCCAGTATCCTTAAATTCCTTTCCTTTCTATACAAACTCCAACCTTCCATTGCTGAAATCGATAAATATACCAACTCGAAGGTTTTGTTTCTGCTTCCTAGGAAGTTTGAGTTTTTGGTGGTCCGCCAAAGCGTAACATGCGAGTACAAGTGTCAAGCTAGCTTTTCAATTTTGGGGATATTGTCATGATGAATTTGATGGCTGTTTGTTAATTGTATTTCATGCATCTTTTCGTTGTTGTTCTTATTGAGAGTATACTTTTACTATCGTCTGTTGGTTAATCCTCGTCTTCAAACTGGTTATTTTGTTGTTGTCGAAGTGAGTTACTTGAATTATGTTTGAAAATGACAACGAATACAATGCACCTTCCGCATTTGATAGTTGTTATGTTTGGAAAATCGATCTTGTATCCTCTCTCTGGGAGACACTCGACGTGGCAAAAGCCATTCTGATACCCTTTTTCCGCGCCCGAATCATGGTTCTCTCCAAACATTCATGATATTATTGGCAGGAAGAGCTTCGTCTTGCAGATTTATATTCATATGGTTGATATTGAGTCAACTGACGGCTAGGAGAATTCAATATTCAGTCACGAGATTATTTGCTTCGATTTTATTTGCTTCCATTTGCCCTTGCTCTTTCCCCTCTTTCCTAAGCTCCCGAGGTCTACCAAATAAATTTTTTTATTTCCAACTCATATTTATTGCTTAGCATTCACTGGATAGTTGAAGATCTCTTTCCCGATTAAATCACCCTCCCAGTCACTTCATTCCTGGTTATCCTCAATTTCCCGGGTCTGAATTATTTATTTGAAAGAGGTCTCGACTTAGGGTGTCAGTATGAGCGCTAACAAGACCAGTCTACCCATCATTGTTTCTGGGAAGTTATCATACAATTGCCGTGACTCTGGCAAAAGTTCGATGTAGAAGTCAGAATATCCTGGGCCATTTTCAGCACCATTCTTGCTTTCCAAACCTATCAAATAACTCGAAAGACGAATTAATGTTGTCATCAAACACAGTGTTTATTGTTTTTCGCAAACATGAAGCGATGACTTCCAGCAGTAACAATAAGCGAGTTGATGGTGTAAATAGCGAGATTAATCAAAAGCATTGCAAGGAGCCTGGAAGCTCTGCCGCGGCGGTCAAACGTGGCGGGAACTCCTCTTGGCACGAGTAAGAAAAGGTGCAGACATGATGAATTACATGTACAATCACATTCTAGGGCAAAGGAATCATCATACACACCACAGGCTTTGCGACACAGAATGCTGGAGTCTCTACTTTCAAGTACTTCTCATACCTCAATCTTGTCATTGCCACCCTTCTCCAAATGAAAATGACCTCCAATTTTTGAATGTGAGCTCACAGAAAGTTTCATGATCCATTTTGCCTTCCTATTTATGCTAGTCACATCATCATGTTTTTTTAAAACTCAATCACTCGCGTATTTACACTTCAATACATCACCATATTCGCTCACCCTTTCAAAGTGTCTTGTAGTTCCTACATGTCCTCATATATGAGCCTCTCAAATTGTAGTCAGACCCTCAGGAAAAAATCGTAGCTGCTAAGAAACAGAATCTCACATGTGCGATCTTCTATTGTTAGTCAGGGGTAGATACTTTTCGATGTGGAATTTCTTCCTGGCTTTAGAACCTTGATTTATACTCTATACCGCTATATTTTCATCTCTATCGGACTACTGTTACAAATTGCTCCTTGTCTTCTTCATTTTCAGAACATAGTGTAGTGTTTTTATGAACTTCATACGCGCGTTATATAGCTCAAAAGCCCACCGAACCCTAGCCTTTGAAATTCACCTCGGTGGTAACCTCCTAATCTTCCAGCATCTAGTCTTTCTTGGATAGACCAGAATTATATTCACTTGACAACACAAGGTTTAAATTTTTCTCAGCCACGCCTCTATTCAAGACCCATTGCGATCCATAGTTTGCAGCAGGGTAGAAACCGAATACTGCTCGGATGTAATACGTCATACAAGGGAGTGGCTCTCTGGAATGTCCATTCTTTCTCCGCTAGCTTTTGATTTGATAGGGGATATCACACATTTTATTTCTGTTTCCTGATCCTTTAAATTGCCAATCCAAACAACCATCCTCACTGTTGATTAAAACCTCTTCATTGTCATTCGTCTCGTTTGATAAAGTTATCGGATATTCCCTCGACGCTTCGACCTTAACTTCAGAGTTGTGAATATCTGAACTGCATGATAGGAATTATAAAGCCACTAGAAACTTTCACAGTGTTCTCTCCTTGCATTCATATCTTTGGCGTTTCTTCTGACGGATGTGGTATTCGGATTTAGGACAAGTGTGTTTTATATATCAACTCCAAGCTACATTCTTTAGCGCCCTTTTTACGTTCTAAATTCACCAATTTACTCCTCTTTTCATATACATCGACTAATCAATACACAGATTCACCTATCTAGCTCTTCTATTGATTCTTTTCTTCCCCTCTTCTTTTTTCTTTCCAAAAGCTTATAAGCCTCCGTTCTGAAGACAGTATGGCCTCGTCTCCACAACGCACATGAAGATTGGCATGAGCATCCCACAAGTCGAATCGGGAATGACTAAAGTAGAGAGGGTTATCCTGGGTGTTCTTGCGGTTGTAATCGCAAAGTCCTAGTCATGGTTACAAGAAACTACACCATCCAATCTGAGACGATATAAAGATTCCAGCCTACAAATAATACTCATATCGTTGTCATCTAGTAGTTTTGTTGTCTATTTTTCAAATGGCGAATAAATAGCCCAGGTAGATTATTGACCCTCAAATATCCATTATTATGTTATAGCTGTCAACTCACGTAAGTCTCACACTCGTGGATAGCTATATTTCCTGGTACGAGGAGTAACCATCAACTTGCCCTTTCCGCAAACATGTTCCTCTGCCATTTGCAAAGTATCAACTGAGATTATCGACTTCTGACTTCTTCAGGGACCCTATTTATGACTTTGTATTGAGCGTATCGCAGACTAATTTATTATTTCCGATTACCCCGCTCATTCACCTAGCTCATTTACAAGAATAATATGAATTAAAATATATATTGAAATATCAATTCAAATATGAATTAAGATCTATATAAAAAGCTCAATATAAATGTAATAAATAATAATAATAATAATAATAATAATAATAATAATAATAATAATAATAATAATAATAATAATAATAATAATTATTTAAACGCGAGCGTAGCGAAGATCGAGGGCTTAGAGATTGGCCCTTATATATTTTATAGAATTAGAATTAAAATTAAAATTTATATGTTACATTAATACTAAGCATTAGGGAAAAAGAATTTAAAGACAAAAAATTCGAAGGATTTCAAAATTATTATAATAATTAATAAGAAAAAAAAGAAATTCAATAAATTCATAATCTGGAAATTCTTTTTTTTCGATATCTAATATTATACAAAAAAAATCAATTATTAATAATTAATTTATTTTATAATTACTTAATAAATTTTTATATAAATTTTTTAAAATATTTAAAATTGAATAGAAATATTATTTTTCTAAATCAATAATCAAATATTTTGAATAATAATTTATTAAATAAAAACAAAATAATAATTATTAATTAAAAAGAATTTTTATAGATTTTTTAATATTTTTTAAAAAAATAGAATTATTTGAAATCAATAAAAATAAATTTTTAATAAGAAGTTGTATAATAAATAAAGTATTTCTTTTAATATTTTACAATTTTTATAATATTTTTAATTAAAAATCTTATATATTTATTAAAGAATTATAAACAAATAAAAGATATTATTATTTGGAATTAATAAAAATAAATTTGGAAAGAAAATTTATATAATAAGAAAAAATATTATAAATAAGAAAAATATATTATTATATAGTATTAATAAAACTTTTTTTTCAAATAATAATTTCTTTAATATAAAAAGATTATTTATTATTAATTTTGTAAAAATCTGGAAATTTTAGAATGAATTTTTTTGGAATTTATTAGTATATTGTAAATTAAATAGAAATATTATAATGTGAAATTAATAAATTCAAATAAACTATTTATTATTAGTTTTAAAGAAATCTTTTAATTTTCTTACTATTTTTATAAGATTTTTATTTTAATTTATTTGAATATTAAAATTAAAAACGAAATCTTATTATTCAAAATTAATTTCTTTTAGATTGAAATAAAAATATTTTTGATTTTATTTATAATATTTTTATTAATTTATAAAAAAGATCATTAAGAATATTATAAGATTTATGAAATATACAAAGTATATTTTTTTTATAAATATATCAATTATTATTTAATACAAATTTTCAAAAATTTTGAATTATAATGTTTTTATATTATTTATAATATTCTTATAAATTTAGAAAGCAATTTATAAAGAATATTAAAAAGTATCAAAAAATATCAAAAATAAATGCTTTTAGTTATATTAAATAAAAACTATTTTAACAATATATTCTTCAATTTCAGATAATAATTTTATCATTTTTTTGTTTTTAATTTTTGATAGATCAGAAATTAAAATTTATAAAGAAACTTATAAGATTCAAAAAAAGCTGAAAACCAGGGCAGGTGCAGGCGAGCAATGGGTGGAGGAAGCGAAGGGGAGGCAAGGGGAGGAAGAACATTGGAGAACAATGGAGGAAGAGGGGAAGGATAGGGGCAGAAGAAACGGTGAGAAGAGAAAGCAAGAAAAAAGAAAGAGGGGAAAAAGAAGGGGGGGGGGGGAGAGGGGGAGTAAGGGAGCGGGAAAGACGGAGGGAGGAAGCAAATAAGAGATAGGGGGAGGCAAGGGGGAAGAGGCGCGGAGAGGAAACTAAATAGGAAGAAGAAACGGAGGAAAGAGGGCAAGGAATATCGGGTGCGGGGAAGGAGGGAAAAGGAGGGAGGAAAACCCCGTGGGAGATGGAAGGTGATAAGAGGAAGGAGGGGGTAGGGGATGGAGAAGAGGAGAAAGAGGGAGTAAACGAAGGGAGGCGAACGAGGAGGAAAAGCGAGAAAACAGAAAAGAAAAGAGCGGGGGGGGATGGAGGGAAAGGATGGTAGGCAACAAGCGAGGGGGAGGAAGGGGGGAGGAAGAGGGGGAGGTGGGGGGAGAAGAGGGGAAAGAAGGGATGAATAAGAAGGGAGGAGAAGGCGGAGAAAAAGCGATGAAAAGAGAAATAAGCAAGAGGCCGGAGGGAGTGGGAGAATTATGGAGCGGGCAATGGGAGGGGGGAGGAAGGGGGATATAACTAGGGTGAGGGTGAGGGGAGGGGGAAGAGGGCTATCAGAAGGGACAAAACAGGGAGCAGAAAGAGGAGAAAAGCGCGGAACAAGAGTAACGAACAAAGAGGCGGGGGAGGAGCAGAGACGGTGAGGCGGGCCAGGGAGGGGGAGGGAGGGGGAAAGAGCGGTGAGGGGGCGGTTACGGTAGAAGAGGCGACAAGGGGAGAAGAGAAGGGCCGGAGGCAGAGGAGGGAAGGAGGAAAGAACAAAGAGTGAAAGAGGCGCTGGAAGTGGAAGGCAAGGACGGGGGGAACGTGGGCAGGGAGGTAGGGGAAATCTCCGGAAGGGGAAACAGCGGGAAAAAGAGGCGGGGGAAATAGGCGGGACGGGAGAAAGGGCAGAAGAGGGGGCATATGAGGTGAAGAGAAAAGGGAGAAAAACGAAGTGTAGCGAGGGACGAAACAGCTAGGAAGGGCGAAGGGAAGACAGAATGTGCACAAGACAAAAGAAAGAAGGCAAAGAAGAAGGTAGTGTGAAGAGGGGAAAGCGGGGAAAGGGCTTGGGCGGAAGCCGGGGAGAAAGGGAACGACGAGGAGTCTAGGAAGGAATCGGAGGGAGAGAGGGAAGGCAAGGAGGGAAAGGGGAAAACGGAAGAAGATAGGAAGTGGAAAGGAAGATGGGAGGAGTGAAGGGGAGAAAAAGCGGGGGCGAAATAAAAAAAAGTGGGGAAGGTAGACAGAGGAGAAATGAGACAACAGCGGTAAAGTAGAAAAAACAGAAAGAGGAAGAGAGCTGGGAAAGAGCAAGGGGGAAAAAGCGGGAGAAGGCGGAAGAGGGGCCGCAAAGGGCAAGAGAAAAGTGGGGGAAACGAGGAGAGTAGGAAAAGGAACGAAAAACGAGGAGTAGGGAATAATGGGGGGCAAAGAAAACAGCACCGACCGGAGCGAAGCAGGGGAAAAAAGGAGGGAGGGGAGGAGGCGAGAAATGGGGAAGGGGGGGGAAGACAGCGGGGAGAAAGTGATGAAAAAGAGGATAAAACGAATACGAAAAACGGAGGGATTGGAAGAGAAAACAGAAGATGGCGGGGATAGAGGTGAGAAAG